ATTTCTCTTACCTTATACTTTGAAAATTATGCAAAAAAAGTGGCATTCATAACTTGCATGTTGTTTTTATAATTAGGAATTCAAAGAAAATAAATACCATGTTTACATGACTTTATTTCTGAATGCTAAATTTGCCTATTCTCCCTTTTCTCTCTTTGCTCATTTCCTCATATTATCTTTGACGTGACATTTGGAATTGATATAGAAGAGGCAATTAACTCAGAAGTCAGTAAAGTAAGCTGGTGACATTTATTTATTATATGATGCAAATGTTTTGCTTTGCTCTTTTAACATCATCTTTTCTATAACAAAGAGTCTTACTGTTTCCAGATTTTACATTTTTGCATGTAACCTAATTATAAGATTTAGTTACAGAATGGATGTTTGTGTTTTATTTTGCATGGCATGGCTGTTGTGTGTGTGTGTGTGTGTGTGCGTGTGCGTGCTTGTGCACACGTGATGTGAAAAGGCATGGTTGCTCCAGTACTTCCTCAGCTCATGACTGAAACTCTTGTTCTAATTCAAGGAAGAAATAAAGAGCTCTTCAAAATTATAATAATGGATACTTTATTCATCTTCTCTGTGGAAATTAGTCCAGGAAGCAAATTAAAATTACAAGAGTATCCAAAACGGAATTATTTTTTGCTTAACTGCTACTTATTTGAGCCCCACCCTCTATAATTTTAACTTTCTACACATTTTCTTGGGGGATGATTTGTCTTATGGCCCTTAGGAGATCCCACTGAAATCATTTACTAGATGTCGCAGTTCCTCCCACAATCCCCACTGTGCTAAGTGGCAACTATTCTGGAAGCTGTCATGTCTGGAAAATACCATGATGCCACGAGTTAATTTCATACCTGTCATGCGATCTTTGCATGAGATCCCAGGGGGCTTTTCAGTGTGTCACAGTACTGCAAGCCATTCGTTAGTTCCTTTCAAAGCAATGACCCATGGCCAAGAGATCTTGTCGTAACACATGGCGACACCTGTCACCAGTTTTTGTGATTGGCATAAAATTAACCTGTTTTACTCATTGATTTGCTGCTTTTTAAATAATATCCATACATAAGATGAGAAGAAATTGTATTTGGAAGCAATTTATTGTCACTTTCAAGAAGCATAATGGCAGATTTGGGATACTGAATCTAATGAATAGACAGACCATTTCCTTGCAGAGGTACACACACAGTTATTCAATCAAGGTCATATTCTATGAAGTTCTGAATGGCAGTCTGCAAATTTAAGATTAATGTTTCAGTATTTGAACTTCATCAAGGATTGGAATAAAGCAAGAAATGATATTATTTTGAATCTTGTTGTAGAAGAAAAATGCAGGAAACTTGGGTTTCAGATATGTGTTTGCCCTTGGTTTTCAATGGTTTCACGCACCTTGAGAGTCCTCTGATTTCTCTCTACATTTTTCATGCCCAGACCTTACTATTGTTATGGAGGCATGCATAAAATGGACCTGTAGAATAACAACGTTTAGAATTATGACAGATACCTGAGAAAACTAGATTAATGATGTTTAGCCTTTAGATCCTTAGCAATTTATCAGTTACTTTTAAGGATAAGACAGAGAAGAAAATAGGCAACCACTTATCTGTGCCTTTCCACCTCACTGAAACAGTAAAACCCTTCTGATAAAATTATTTTATCTACAGAGAAAGTATCTGGTTCTGTGCATTACCATATTCTTTATCTTCTTACATCTTTAACTTCTCAAAAGGTATAGCTGGTGTCTTTCCTTCTTCTTGATTAAGTTAAATGCTGCTTAGATTCTGAGAGTTTGAATATCCAAATACAATAAAGAACAAAGATGAATTTTAGTCATTTTCTCCCTTTTTTTTTTTCTCTCTTTACCAATTCTCAAGACTAAATGGCGTTCTCCAGTTTGGATCGGTTGCTCTGTATTCTGAAGTAATCAATTTTTCCTGGCGTTTCTTAAATGGTCTTTATTATTCAGTGAATTCCCTTTGAAAGTATAAACATTAGTCCTTGTTGTATGGCCTTAGAAATTGATGGCTGCTGTTCTCAAAGGATGGTGGATTTAGGATGATTGAAAGTGCAGAGCAAAGAGCTGAACTAAAACAATGGAATCAGAGGAAGATGGTACTAGAGACAAAGAGAGAAGAGCACAGCAATTGTAAAATAATCTGAAGTAGGGATTGGGGATTTAAAGCCTGCTTAGACTTGATTAATAGATGCTGTAAAAATGAAATGCTGAGCCAAGGGGAAAAAACGCACTTGAAAAGTCCCTTGAAAATGTGTTAATGCCTTTACTTGGCAAGCATTTTTTTTTTCTTTTTTCCCCCATATTGAGTATAAAATCATTGCATGAAAATATAGATTTTTTCCACATTGGCTATTGTTATTTTTTTAAGTGCTGAGTATGGTTATGTTGGGATAAAATCAGGTTTCTGCTAGACAAAAAGAAAAAAAAAAGGTCTATACTGATACTATGTTGGTCATAAGGCAGATCTTTGATAAGTCAAGGTAAAGATAAAATGTAAAATATAAAACACATGTTTAAAATGTTATTGGTAAACTAACGGTATTTATTTTATTTTTTAAAAAGATTTTATTTGTTCATGAGAGACAGAGAGAGAGAGAGAGAAAGGGAGAGAGAGAGAGAGAAGCAGAGACAAAGGCAGAGGGAGAAGCAGGCTCCATGCAGAAAGCCTGATGTGGGACTTGATTCTGGGTCTTCAGGATCACCCTCTGGCCTGAAGGCAGCGCTAAACCGCTGAGCTACCTGGGCTGCCCTAAGGGTATTTATTTTAAAGCCAAAAACAGTGATGGCAGTTTATACCTAAAAGTGTGGGAGATTTTTCAGGGGATTCTCAAGAGACTGTGATGTTGGTATGGCTGGTATCTAACTTATTTTCCAACAAAATTTGTCAAGAAAATTGAAAAGCATTCTTAAAAAAAAAGAGCAATTTGTGGCAAATAATTTTATTATTAAGAGCATACTGAGGACCTATAAAATAATTTAGGTAAGCTTTAAAATACTGAAACATTTTTATTACTGATGAAGCCGATTCATAGCTACTTCTTGTATTTTTACTACATGTAAGCGGGATCTGACAAAGACACCTGAATCTGTTTAAAGGCAAGCATTTAAGAATGGGCGCTGGAGTCAATAGTCAGGAGGCTTTGCCACCATAAACATCATCTTGACTACAATCAAATCATTTTTTGATATGAGGAGTCAGTGAAGGGTAAAGAGATGAATTAGAACTTCTGTTTGTTGGTTGGATATTTAGTTTAATAAGTAAACTTAATAAATAATCTTTTCTTACGAGTACTAGAATAGAAACCTTTCCTCCCTGGTTTTATGAGTTAACTATTAGCAAGTACCCCTATCAACACACACACACACACACACACACACACACACACAGACACAGACACACACACACACTATTGGCTAGGTAAGTTTCTAATTAACAGTATCACAATCTCTATCCCAGTTGTTCTTATCTGGGTTGCTTTTGCACATCCCCTCCAACACCTGACAATGTATAGAGATATTTTTGGTTGTCACACTTGGGGGATGGGGTGCCACTGGCCTGTCCTGGATAGACGTCAGTGTTCCTCCTAGAAATCCTACAAGGCACAGAATGTCTTCTCATGACAAAAATTTATTTGTTCTAAAATTTGAATACTGTTCACGGTATTTTTTTAGATGAGATTCACTTTTAGATTACTGGACTTTGAGAAAAGCAGATCTCCCTCTGTGATATGGGTGGGCCTCATCCTATCAGTAGAGGCCCTAATAGAACAGAGTATGACCTCCCCAGAGGAAGAAGAAATATTCGAGCAGACAGCATTGGAATCAAATTGTCATTCTAGGGCAGCCCCGGTGGCGCAGTGCTTTAGCGCTGCCTGCAGCCCAGGGCGTGATCCTGGAGACCCTGGATCAAGTCCCACGTCGGGCTCTCTGCATGGAGCCTGCTTCTCCCTCTGCCTGTGTCTCTGCCTCTCTCTCTCTCTCTCTGTCTCTATGAATAAATAAATAAAATCTTAAAAAAAAAAGAATTAAAAAAATTGTCATTCTACACTGATTCTCCAGCCTGCTAGTCAACCCTGCTGTTGTTTTTGTGGAGAATTTTTTTGTAAAGATTTTATTTATTTATTCATGAGAGACACACACACACACACACACAGAGGCAGAGACACAGACAGAGGGAGAAGCAGGCTCCATGCAGGGAGCCCAATGTGGAACTCCATCCTGAAACTCCAGGACCACGCCCTGGGCCAAAGGCAGGCACTAAACCGCTGAGCCATCCAGGGATCCCCTCTGTGGAGAATTCTTACTAATAAAGGTCTGTTTCATCTTGGTGCAGTGACCCTGAGGCTTTTATATTCAGTAATTCCTGGGCCCTCCCACAGAAGTCCATGGACATTTCTGGACCTGTCCATGCCTTCCATTTCCTTGTTGATCTTCTGCATAGTTCTATGTATTATTGCAAATGAAACCTTGGTCTTCAACTATTATTGTTGAGTTGCCTATCTCTCCCTTCAATTTTGTCAGTTTTTGTCTTGGTAGTTGGGGGCTTTGTTAGGTATATTTATGTTTGTAAATCATTATATACTCCTGACTGACTGTTTACCATTATAAAACATCCCTTGTTGTCTCTAGTAACATTTTTTTTCTTAAAGTCTATTTTGTCTAATGGTAGGATAGCCACCCTAGATCTGTTTTGGTTGCTTTTTCCAAAGCATATGTATTTTTTCCATCCTTTTACTTCCACCCTATAACATCATCTTTGAACCCTAAGATTTTCACTTCTAGACAGCATGTAGTTGAATCATTTTATTTAAACTATTCTGGGAATCTCTCCTTTTATTTAGAGTATTAAATCCATTTACATTTAATGTAATTATTGGTATGGAGGAATTGACATCTATTACTTTGCTGTTTTTTCTATATGTCTACATTTTTGTGTTTCTATTTCTCTATTACTGTCTTCTTTGAATATGTTATCCCACTGAAAAATATAGAAGACTTTATGGATTTGCATGTCATCCTTATACAGGGGCTATGGTATTCTTCCCTGAATCATTCCGATTTAAGTATATGTGCTGGTAAAGCAAGCACTTTGGATGCCTCCTTACTACAGTAGAAATGAAAAAGACTTGGAGAAAGCAACCTCTCTTCTTTCAATATAATTTCTACCTTTGCTACTTCTGACTTACTTCATGGAACATGCTATATAGAATGCAGCATCTCTCTAAGGAAACAAAAGATCTTTATTTTCTGTCCAGTGATCTAAGTATAAGCCCCACTCTTTGGGCCTCTGATTGTTTTGTAACAGCATCTACTCAAACTCTCTTTGAATTTCTGTTTTATTCTTCCTTACATACTACAGAACCATTCCTTCCACATAGTTAATACAGATCTCACTTGAACAGTAATTTTCATTTATGAGAATGAGACACATGCCCTTCATTTGAAGGAAGGCATTTTTATATTTATTTTGTGTCACACTTAACTAAACACTGGTGACTAGGTCTTACTTATAGCCTTCTATTCACAAATGTCATTAGCATTAAGGAGGGCATGTGATGTAATGAGAACTGGGTGTTATATACAACTGATGAATCACTGAATTCTACTTTTTTTAAAGATTTTATTTATTTATTCATGAGAGATGCACTGAGAGAGGCAGAGACACAGGCAGGGGGAGAAGCAGGCCCCTCGCAGGGAGCCTGATGCAGGATTCAATCCCTGGACCCTGGGATCACGCCTTGGGCGAAAGACAGATGCTCAACTGCTGAGCCACCCAGGCATCCCTGAATTCTACTTCTGAAACTAATAATATACTATATGTTAATTAATTGAATTTCAATTTTAGAAAGTTATTAGCATTTAATTCCAAAATTACCATATAGTTTCTCCCCATTGTTAATTGTTAACATTGTTAATTGTTAGTCTTATTACACAGTCCAATATTTTATTATTTAAAAAGAACAAAATCTGTGGATACATGATTAGATGATAGCAAGAGTATAAGTTTCTTGCAATTAGCCATCACATGGTTTTAGTCTTACACAGTGCTGGGGTTACTTTCTATTCATGTATGTGTATATATCTGTCTGTTAAGTCCATTCATCTCTCCTTTTATCTATCAGTCTAGCCAGCCAACCATCTATTAGTCAATCTGTTTGTAATCCATTCAGAACATGTATTTTTCTTCACAGGAATTCAATATTAGCATGTGGTAGTTGTGTAATATGTAATATGTATTAAATACATATAAGGAGTAAACAATAGTAGAAAGCATTGCCATTGTTAAATGTTAGGCTCAGTAATTTTTTTTCCTTGCACACTATCTTGTGCAATGTTGGGTCTTTAGTGCAGCATCCCTGACCTCCCAGTAGATATCTATATTACCCTCCCAGTTGTGACAACCACAAAACATAGTCTGTGAAAATCGTTTCACAGTCTAGATACTGTGAAATACCCTGTGGAGGGAACATCCCTTTCTCCCTCATCCAGTGGAGAATTCCTGGTAGAAAGGCATTTTCTTTCCTGCTTTTGTCATAATATGCATATTCATGAAAATCACTTTTTATCAATGACTAATGATGGCCTATTTCTTTGATGAATTAATGTATGTACATCTGTGTTTTCCAGGTATTCACTCTCTCACTCATTGATTCATCTAATATAATTCAGTAAGCATTTATTATATGCCTATTATATACCTATTATAAGCATTTATTATATACCTATTATGTACCTATTGATTCATCTAATATCATTCAGTAAGCATTTATTATATACCTCACTAGGAGTGAGGCTACATTAGGGAAATAGAAGCCCCTGTCCTTACAGGGCTTACCAACTTTGGGAAGAAACAGATGGTGGGGTCCGGGGGGGTGTGTGGAGAAAAAACAAATAACTAAACAAAAGATAACACTGACAAGTGTTTTGTTGATAATCAAGCACGAAGGCGTGAGGGAATGACTGAGACTACACTGGATTAGTACTCTAGCAAGGACTCTAAGGTGGCATTCAATGTGAGCATCAAAGCAAAGAAGTGAATGGATTATTCATATTGACTTATTTTTGTGGCACACAAACTTTGTTAGGAGTGTAAAGAGATGAGGAATTTCTGGCATATTGACGTACTTACTTATCTGTATATGTGAACAACACTGAAGTGCTTGTGTGGGAATCTTTAGAAACTTTTCCATATTACTTGCAAAACCTTAGTCCCACCAAGGTAATACTGTTCACTACTTTAAGGATCCATGAAAAGTGGACCATAAAAACAAAATGAAATGTGAGGTATACAGACCTTTAAATATCCCATGTGTCAAGAATGAGTAATTATTAAAAGAACGCAACTAATATCATTTCTACCTTCATAATATATCACTGAGGAGTTGGAAACAACCAGAGAAAGTTACTCAAAGGAAAGTCCTGATCTGATATATTTAAAATAAAGAAGTGAAATGATGTTTATCTTTACAATGGCACCTCTCAGGGCACTGGGGTGGCTTAGTCAGTTTAATGTCCAACTCTTGGTTTTGGCTCAGATCATGATCTCATGCATCTTGAGATCAAGCCCCACTTCAGACTCTGTGCTCAATGCAGAGTATGACTGAGATTCTCTCCTTCACTCTAATAGGTATAATAGGTATATAGGTATGCTTGCTCACTCTCCCTCTCTTTCTCTCTCAAATAAATTAAAAAAAAAAAAAGAATGGATCCTCTCTACCTTCAGTAGATCCAAAGCCATTACTCAGACCTTTCCAACTTTTCTATAAATTTAAATTGAGATACCCATTTTAAGGTGGACATAATAATAGATAAGCTGATTTGCATTATGGATAATTATATGCCTTTGTGGTAATGGGGGGGGCTAACCCTATAAACTTCTGAGTATGTAGATTCATTTATGATTTCATTGGTAGTAGATAATTAAATTAAATATAAAATACAGCAGGATGCATACTGTCATTCTTTGACCAGTCATAATAATAGTTTGATTTTTATGCTCATGGATGTTTTCTGTATAAATAGAAATCCTGAGTAAACCATCTGGCATATACTTGCATTTTAAAAGCGACTTACCTACTGGAAGTAAAAGGCTGTTTGCAAGCATGATTGAAATATTAATTAGAATAATGGTTTCATTATCAGATCTTCACCTTTTATGCTAGATGCTGGATCAAGTCAAAACCTCAGCTGCAAGTCATGCATCTTGATGATTTTTTTTTTATTTATTTACGATAGTCATACAGAGAGAGAGAGAGAGGCAGAGACACAGGCAGAGGGAGAAGCAGGCTCCATGCACCGGGAGCCCGACGTGGGATTCGATCCCGGGTCTCCAGGATCGCGCCCTGGGCCAAAGGCAGGCGCCAAACCGCTGCGCCACCCAGGGATCCCCATGCATCTTGATGAAAGGCAGAATTCTGTAAAGGAAAGAGATGAATTACAAAATAAGGTAGTCCTCATTTGATGAAGACATCATTACAGCTGAGTGGCTTGGGCATTTCGGTGAACTTTGAAGAAGTACCACCATTTTCTCTACAAATATCATTGACCTTTAAAAAGTAGTGTCACCAGAGAAACCAAAGTATATTTTTATACTGCTATTAAGTAATTGAGTGCAAAATTCAGTACAATCAGATGAGTACAGGGAGCCAGAGAAAGGTGATCATTTCAATTCTTTTCTTCATTTTCCTTTCTAACATGGTCATGGTAGTAGAAAATCTCAAAGGTGCCAACTGTGCTCTGGACTGCAAGCCTGACTCCCCCACAGCTATGTAATCTTAGACAAGTTATTTACATCCTGCCTGTTTACTCAGCTGTAAAATGTAGATAATAACCCTTGTCTTCTATGGTTGTTGTGAGGAATAAATGCAATAGTGTATGTAGCATACATAGAACATAGCCATTGCTTGATAAACAATGGCTTTATTATTAGCAATGTTTATTTCCTCCAAAAGTGGCTTTAAAACAATGACAACAACAGAAATCCCAGGATCTTTCCTTGCTTCTGTAGTCACTACTAATTATATATATGACTCTGCATTAGTGCTTGAGGTAGGAAAGGAAAACAGTTGCCGTGAGAGGGGAGCTAAGTTTTGGGTCTCATGGTGCTTTCATTAAGTTCTCCCCAGTAACGTTGTCGCTGGTAGGTTTTTCCTTCCATTTTCATAACTGAAAATAATTAGAATAAACAACAAATTTTATAGTGAAGATAATTTATAGAGTTATTCGCTTCCTTTTTCATAATTTTTGTTCCAAATTAGATATTTCCATCAAAGGAAGGCCTTCCTGAGCCCTGCTTGTGAGATAGCCATGCACACCCAACGCTGGATCATAGTACCCAGTTGGTCTTCTGCTTGGCACTTACCACAACCACTTTTTTTTTTTTTGTCTTTTCTCTCTCCCATAACTGAAATGTAAATTTTAAAGGTCATTGATAAAGTCTATCTCACTCATCACTCTGGCTCTGGCTAGCTATCTGCCAGGCACATATAGACACTCAGTTTATGGTAGATGTTGATGATCTTCTTTTCCTTCAAACCGTAATTCTCCCCTGGCAGACTTACATCTTGAATTGCCTTCTCATGTTCTCTTGTATATACTTGTGCAAGTTGCTAAAGGCATGTGTTGTAGTAATTTGTTGCAATGCAAATGTGTTTCAGAGATGAGGGAGCCATCTCTTTGTGATCTTAGAATCAATCCTAAAATTTCACCTACAGAGATTATAAGTGCCAGTCTTTGATTTGATATAATTAACCCTTTACATTTTATTGATAACATGTGAAATTAACTGGATTTCTTATTGAGCCCTTATTGGTGTTCTTTAGTAAGTTTAAAAAACAAACAAACAAATTTGGATTCTAATTGGAATTATCTCCTCCTCAGTATACAGGACAAAACAAACTTTTGGTTTGTTATTGTGCCCAAGTCAATACATTTAATACAATTTAGTATATTTTCCACCAGAAAGTTGGTTACTTCTTCAAGTTTAAACCTTCATTTTCCATTAAAGGGTGATGGTTTATCTAGTATCTCCTTTCCCTAAGTCCTATCATCTTGTCTTGGAAATTTTAAGTGCCGAAAGGATATAGGAT